TCAGACTGATGTTCCTCGAGCTGTGTTCTGTCAGACTGATGTTCCTCCAGCTGTGCTGCTCGTCACTTTCTGACGGCAGCGTTGTTTGTGTTTTAGGGGTGAGGTCGGATACTGTTTGGGCTGCAACTCCTCTTTACGCTGCGGTGCAGAGTGTCAGAAGGATCTAACAGATATGACAGAAATCAGGATGGATCAGGGTGGACAGCGTTGTTGGTGCGGTGGACGTGAGCCGGAGGTCTGAGCCCAGGAATCGTGTTTTAGGCAGAAGTTGGTTCTGTTAAGCGTCAAGACTCAGAACACAGTGTTTTTAATAAAATGCTGCAGCTCTGTGGGAAAAGCTTTATTTGTTCTCCTACACCACAACCTTCTTAAGATGAGTTCAGTTTGTGTGTGCGCTGATTCCCTGACCCACTTCGGATCGGCGCGAGGAGCCCAGGAGGGTCCTGATCCGCCACATGTAGACGGAAAACAGAGGAAACTCCTCTGATAACGGGAGGAGACGCTGCTCCAACAGACGCAGGAAGCCCATCTGCTCCTCCTCCTCCCCAACCTGACACCCCACTACCTTTGAGTTCTGCAGCAGCTCCTCCAGGATCCACAACAGGTGGCATGAGTTCTGGTACTGGTCCACAGGAAACACTTCCAGCCCTGGGGTTTCCTGCGTCTGCACCTGCAACGCAACAACCAGATAGACGTTTAATTCAAAACGAGTATGGCCTGTTCTGCATTATTCAACTGTCTGTAGCAATGGACCGACAAGCACGCAGCTTGTATGACATTTGACCTTGAGCAGTGACCTTGAAGCCAGCGTGATGAACGTGTACACCACACTCCCGTCAGGTGATGATGCATACGTGTTTGAAGTTCACTTTATTCCACCCTCTTCACAAACTCGATAAGTAATGTAGGTCAGAGCATCCCTGATGCATCCATACATTTCTACGCTGATGACACAGTTGTTTATTGTCGAGCTAAAACAGCTGATAACGTTTTCCAGGTTTTCACATCATCCAGTCAGATTTGTTCCGTCTCAAACTGATGCTAAGTGCTGATAAAACCAAAAGGATGTTGTTTTCAAACAGGAAGCTGGTACCAGAAGTTTTTCCTCCTATCTCATCCATGCGTGGTGTTCCTATTGAGTTTGTAGATTTTTACAAATACCATAATTCTCTAACTACAGAACACACCTCTCTCTAAACTGCACATCTTAAGCCGCTCGGCAAAATGCAGATCCTAAAATCATCCACCTTGAAGCTTCAGCAGAGGCACTCCAATGGGAAGCGGAAACGCTGTTCCTGGCTTAAGAAGTGAGGTTGCTGGGCGGGGGTGCTAGCAAGGCTAAAAGTAGGGATGGATCCGATACGGTATCGGCCTCCGATACCAGCATAATTTACGTATCGGATTTTCCGATCCACCTGCTGATATTTCCGATCCATGATACATGTTGGCTTCAAACTATGGAATGGATTTCCTGAACGTGTCTCATGAGCCCAGAGTAATAAGACCCGCCTCACATTCAGGAAATCCAGTCCATAGTTTGCAGCAGCTGCAACGTGAGGGCTGAGTTAGCAGCACTGTGGCTAACAGCTAACAAACTTTTCATCTAAACATGTCGCTGTGTGGAAGTATTTTACACTAAACACCACAAAACAAGACAGCAACGTGCACTGTCTGCAGAGCCACAGCGCCACATTAAACCACGGTAAAGTTAGTTTTACGATGGACATTCGAGCTCCGGGGCTTCAGCGGGGCGCTGCTCTCGCTGAACTCAAAAGAGGCGACTCGACCCCGGTCAGCTGCGTCCACTCTGCCCCGCTCAGTCTGCCCGTCTCTGAGGAGGGACAGACTGAGCGGGGCTGACCGAACTCAGACTGCCTGCTTCGGACTGAACAAGAAGACGTCGCTGAAACCACGGAGCTCTAATGTTTACAGAGAAGTTGATAAACTTCATCATTAATGACCAACCACTATCAGTTGTAGAAAACAAAGGATTTCACAGTTTGATACTTGCAGTCAAGATATAATTTACCCTCCAGAGATATTTATCAGTACAACAGTAAACAATCATAAAAAACACAAGATTTGAAAATTATATATATTAAAAACATAAACAGCTACATTATAAATTGATGTAAAATACTAAAAACAGGAACATGTCTGTTGGTTTATGTCATGAACTTAGCAGGTGTTTGAAGACATTTAACGTTTAATTTTATTCATTTATTCATTCATTTAAATGAAACGAAATAAAAAAAACATCAAAAAGAAAACATTGAATGAAAAGAGTTCAGGAAGAAGAAAAAATTCTTATATCTGCCTCTTATTTAAAAAAATATAAAATAACTTTAAACAATCACTTAAATTAATCACTTTAATATCCACTTTAAAACTAGGAATAAAAAGAAACATGTTTTGTGTTAGCAGGATTTAATTCTAACTTTAAAACTTATCCAACATTAATAAAACTTACCTCAAGTTGCCTTTTTGGACATGCATGCATATATTTGTACAAATTGTACTTGAGGGGAGATTATTACAGCCTCATGTAAAATCAATGATGATCATGAGATCTGAACTGGATCGGTATCAGCTGATACTCAGTTCTAGGTATCGGGATCGGATCGGAAGTAAAAAAAAGTGGATTGTGCATCCCTAGCTAAAAGCTAACGCTAAAGCTGGCAAACTACTATTTTACTGACCACATCAACTCTGTGGATAAATACATCAAGTTCACA